GTTCAGGTCAAGTTGGCCTTTAAACCGGTCTAAAATTGATTTTCTTTAATGGGGTTCAGGGGGACATTTATGAACAGGAGGACTCGACCTACCATCACCCTAAAAAAACAACTAAAGAGTTTCGGACTAGCTGGAACACAATAAGAAAATACACATTCAAATCAGTTTTCATTTACATATATTTCTTTTCTATATTTAGGTCCACGGGCCGGCATGGCCTAATCCGCGGCCAGGCCCAACACAATCCATATATATTTTATATATAGTTATATAATATTATATAAATTATAATTGTATAATAATATATAGTATATAATATATTAATAAAATATATATTTTTTTAATTTTGTTATACTAATTTATTTAATTATTGCATATATAAGCAATTTTGTACACAAAATTCATATAAAATTAAAATTTTAAGTTTTGTCAATTTTTTTTAAAATAAAAAGCTTTGGCCCGATGCACAGCCCGACTTGACCCAAGGATCGGGCCACGGGCCAGCCCGGGCCCGGGCCGTGGACCATGCTAGGCTGACCCCGAAATTTTTCACCATGGAGGACGGCACGACCGTGACAGGTTGTGGACCAACATGACATAACCCACACTTTGCATAGGCCGTCCACGGGCCACAAATAACAACAGTCCTTCCACCTCGTCCAGCATTGCGAGTATTGGCTATGAATCCGAGAGCCCCCCTCGAGCGCTTAGAGTCCAGTTACTGAGGGAGAGCACGGCCCCTGGAGGCACCAAGTGTGACCAGTGGGGCAGGGAATCTCCTAATGAAAATATCGGCTCTACGAGGTTGAGGAGTGACGCCACGTGGAATGCCTTAGCGCATCCTGAAATGGTGGAGCCAGAGGAAGCTGAGGACCCTACTCCTAAGGAGCTATCCGAGGCCGAGGTGTGACATTGATGCGTTATCCGCACTCTGTCCTAGACAGTGATCTCAAGATGGAGCAAGTGAAGGCTCTTACCGAGATGTACAATATTCCTGGGAGCTATAAGGTTAGAGTCACCAACGTCGACAACATGCCGTGGCAGCCAGCTGAGGGGGAGGTGTGTGTGCACGAGCACTACCTCCACTTTGGCCTTCGATTCCCTATTCCCCTGCTCATCCCAAAGATCCTTAATTATTATAACATCTCCCTCAGTCAATTAGCTTCGAATGCAATTAGGACCATTATAGTCGGGCTAGTGATGGCCCATTTCCGAGGAGCGTACGTTACCATGAACATCTTCTGAGGTTTGTTCACCTTGAGGAAGCGTCCAACTGTATCCGGCTTGTGGTACTTCCAAGGCCGACGGGGTAGGGTAGTGGTACTTCCAAGCCCGCTCACCTCGGTATGGGCATTCTTGTTGTCGGCTATCTACATCGTCTTCATACTATACTTTGCCCTTGTTCTAACTCGTTTCTTTGTGTGTTGTAGAGATGGATAGTGGCATTGAGGAACGCCTCATGCAAATGGCAAAGTCCACCGAGAGGGGCCCAAGTGAGGGGCCATCGAAGAGGTCTGCCCCAAAGGAATTGCCTCGGGCGAAGGCCCCTACCGAGGCTGAGATGAGGAGGGTGCATACGCCCAAGAGACCTGTTAAATGCCCTTAAGCTTCGAGGAGGAAGAGACAGGCGGTGAGGGACTGCCAAGCCGAGGGTGTTACTGGGGGCTCTCAGTAGTCGGGGGCCCTAAACCCCAGCCAACCAAAAATACATATCCTTAAAATTTCATATCAAGATTCCTTCATTTACCCGTTCATCAAGCGAAGATTCCATTTCGACCTCTCTTATTACCCTAAACACTCAAAACCTAGATTACTTTGATCTTGACACATCAGAATCGATCAGACCACACCTTTCGAATCCATACATACCATAACACCTGCTCATAAAATTTCACCCCCAGATTCTCCCACTTATCCATCTATCATACCAAGATTTTATTTTGAAACATCTTGTTGACCCAAATTCCTATGATCTTAACCTTCTAAGACTAATCAGACCACATCTTCAGATCTTAGACACCCCCAAATACTTACCTATGAAATCTAAGCCCAAAATACCTATGCTTACCCATCAACCACACCAACATTCCATTTCATGGTCCCAGATTGACTAGATTACAAATTTGCCCGATTTGGACCTACTTGGCTCAATCTAACCTTAGTAATCACCTCAGAGTACCAAAAAAATCCTATCTTGTGAAATTTCATCCAAAACAGACWTTGTTTGCCCTTCGATCACATATATTCTATTTTCACGCCCCAAATTAATCGAATCGAGCCCTTTCCAGATTTGTCTAATCCTACCCCCAGTTGGGCAATTTGACCCCACCAATCAACTCAGAATTTCCAAAAATCCTACCYTGTAAACTTTCAACTAAAAATATCCTCATTTACCCTTTTATCTAAAAAGATTCCATTATGGTCAATTTCACTAACCCTCACACATTAACCCATTCTGTGGTCAGACCCATCTCAACCCACCAATTTTTTTTATTCGGAACCACCCATCATTGAACCAAGACCCCAGTTTGACCCCTTAGACCCGATTTGACCCTTTTTCCAAATGCCCCTATACTTCCCCAAAATTACGGAAATGCCCTTYCACCTACCTATAAATTAAACCTAAAGTTTTTGATTCMGAATAATACACTCYCGATTTCATTCAAACCGAAGCCGTAGAAGCACCTTCAAAAAAACAGAAAAAAAACCCGTACAAGCGGCGGCCTCAACCAACCTATCTCTAGCCTCCCTCTCCCACTATCTTTCTCTTTCTCTCTTTCTCTCTCTTCTTCCCTTCTTCCTTTTCTTCTGCTCATTCTCGTCCCTTCGTCTTCCCTCTCTCCTTTCCATTTCGACACCGCTGCTGCAAGTTGTAGTGGCGGATCTGAACCAGGTGGCGTTTTNACTTAGCCAAAAAAATTGATACATCACAAAAATTGGTACGTGACCAGAAACGGTTACATCATATATGTTATACCATTCGAATGGGTGACTCATATCATCCGAAAACGAAACTGTTTTGGCCACCATTTTTTTTGTTGATGGTTCGACTATCTGTTTCGAATGGACGATCCATTTTGACAACAAAAATTAAAGAAATAAAAAACGGCCAAAAACCACTGAGCAAGTCAACGGGTTGACGGTTTGACCGTTTGGGTCAATGGGTCCTTGACTGTTTCAACGGTTTTTGGCCAGGGACCGAAATTAGGGTAAAATGGAATCGGTTGCTTGGACGGTTCCCAATTAAAAAAAATAAAAAAATAGTAGTTTGACTGTTCGGTTCGAATGGACGATTCATTCAGACAAAAATTACAGGCAAAAAATTGAGTGTGTGTGGTCTATTGAGCAGTATCATACGTATTATGGAATTTGAGCATGTGACTCATGCAACCCGAAAACAGAACCGTTCTGGTTACTGGTTTTCAGGTCGATGGTTCGACCGTTTGGTTCAAAAGGATGGCCCATTATGACAACAGAAATTAAAAAAAATGGCAAGAAAATATTGAACGGGTCGGCGGTTTGACCACTGGGTCAATGGGTCGTTGATCGATTAAACGATTTTTGGCCAAGGGCCGGGATTGGGATAAAACGGAACCGGCTACCTGGACGGTTCCCAGTTAAAAAATAAATAAAAAATGGTCAAAACCATTGAACGGGTCAACGGGTCGACAATTCAACCGCCCAGGTTAATGGGTCTTGATCGATTCAACGATTCTTGGCCAGGGACCGGGATTAGGGTAAAATGGAACCGGTTGCCTGAACGTTTCCCAGGCCGAAATGTTCGTCCATCTGTGTCAACGGTGATTYGAAAACCATGGTTCTTTTGTGCTTTTGTATTTTCACTATTCAAAGGTTTCTTCTACTATTGCCTTTATTCGAGCGTGTGCGGTAATGTTCATTTTTTTTCATTTTCTTATTTTATTTTTTTGTATGTTTGATCTTTTCTTCAAGATCCTCCAAAACGGTCTAGGGTTTACCACAATTTTATTTCYAAACCGGTCTAGGGTCTTCTTCTTCCCTTTTGTGTGTTTGGTCTTTCTTTGATTGAATGTATGTTTTGCTCCATCTCAAAGCAGAACTTTGGACTCGATTTTCTAATTTTTTTCCTTGGTTTTTCCGGTTTGGTGGATTTACCGCCAATTTTTTTYTGTGTTTAAGGTCAACTTAGATTTATCTTTCAAGGTGTTGGAATCCATTGCAATGTCCACCCTTCCCATGACTATGACTACAAAGTTATTTCGTCTAATTATTGACGTCTAGAAAAGATAGCTCGAAATGGAACCTTAATGGCCACCGGTTTCTAGGTCGACGGTTCGACCGTCTGCTTCAAATGGATGGCCCGTTCTAACAACAAAAGTTAAAAAATTAAAAAAAAAATAAAAATGGTAAAAAACCGTTGAATGGGTCAACCGCCCGGATCAACGGGTCGTTGACTGATTCAACGATTTTTAGCYAGGGATCGGGTTTGGGGTAAAACGGAACTGGTTGCTTAGACGTTTCTCGGGCCAAATAATCTTACTGTCCGGAATCAACTGAGAATTATCGATGTAAAACAAGACAGATATGAAGTAGAACTTAGAACTATCACTGTATGATCGTATTGTTTTATATGAGATGCTTTGATGAAGTAATATTTAAAAAAGGAACAGGTGATAATTTCTTTTAAATCTTTACACGAGTTTCAAGATTTAATTACTTACAATTACAAGTTTTTTATTAAAAAACCATTTTCTTTTTTAATCTTCAAGTAAMGATATTACAATTCAATTCCAATCCCTCCGAAGGAGAGCCCCCATCCGTCTTTAATCCGATTTGACGTTGTCCTCGTTCTTATTACAGCCACATGCAATTTTGCAATTCCGATTGCCAAAATATATTATCCAATATTACGAGTACAATTGTTGACAGCAAACTTAAGCTTAGGACTAAATTAAAACTAACCCCTGCCATATCATATGCAGTACTTATTTYACCACCTACATTAATTAATTAATTAATCAAATTCTACACACAAAATATTTATTATCGATGGATCACCACATTTCAGCAACAAATCAACGCAGAGGACTACAACGATAAGCACAATGATCAGCGAGTTTCTTTTCTTTTCTGCTCTCTTTGACATCCATCAAATTAATCATGGTAACACCACCAATGGACGGATCATTGCATTGTCTTCGTGGTCCAGAATCTGGATATAAATGAAAAATGGAATTTAATACAACCAACCCAGGATTAGAAATTTAGAATCAAGTCAGATATTAATCAAGCTTAAAATGGCCATGAATGAACTGATGTGACAGTTACTTGAAGGATTAATGAGTGAGAACTTACGTGACAATGGTATGCATATCCTGGTGCCAAGGTAGGGTCGAATGGATATGGAGAATTGGTCTCCACCAGGTTAAATTTGACGACCACCGTTGTCATAGTTCCGGGGGCCAACTTCACGGTCGTCTTCCATGTCTTCTCGTTTGCCGGTATGTCAAGCACCTGGCCGGAGAGGTAGGACGTTACGTTGCAGGCGAGGGCATCGTACTGTTGTGTCATGCAGCTGGTGAATTGGTCCACATTTGTGAGTGGCTGTACCCTGGTTGCTTGATACGTAGCCAAGTGTATGTGCAGTGGGTGGTTATCGCCCGTCAGGTTGATCACCTCCCATATCTCTGTAGTGCCGGATTTCGGTGTCTCTGTTACGGGATCCTCAACTCTTTTTCCATTTATATAAAGGTGTGTGGGTGACCCTGAAGGGTCTGTGTACTCGTACAGCGCAAGGTATCTTGTCGTAGCTATGGGATCTGTCGTGGAGCCCTGGTAGCTCACTAGACTCGTCGGGATGGTGGAGATGTCCGGTACAGAAGGGTTTCCGGTCGCGATGACGAACTTCATGACCTTTGAGTTGAGGTTATCCACTGGATCTCCGTTGGGGTAAGGGTAGGGAGCGTCGTTGTTCATTAGAATCTCGGTGGCGGTGGCAGTTGAGAAGTCGATGATGACATCGGCTGTCTCGGCGGGGCCTAAGAGGATAGTCTGAAGCTGAAGGGGTGCGGGGAGGTAGGAGGCGTCGGCTCCTATTTGGGTGAAGTAGACGCCGTTGCTCAGCGAGAGGTGGAAGTAACGCGCATTTGCAGCGTTGGTCATCCTGAACCTGTACTTGCGTCTCTGGACGTTCATGAATGGCCAGGCCTTCCCGTTGACGATGATGGCGTGGCCGAAGTACTCCGGTTGCCACTGTGGGTGAACCGACGGGATGATGCCTGTGTTGTTKATGTAAAGGGAACCATCCGTGTTGAAGCTCCGGTCGAAGATCATAAATCTTCGGTCGAACTCCGCTCCGAATGGGAGGTCCAAGGGAAGTTCCACGGCCGGTTCACGGACGATGTAAGCACCGATGAGACCTGCAAGGAGGTTTTCACGTGTCAACCCCAGTGCATGGTCGTGGTACCACATGTTCCCGGCATGCTGGACGTTGGGGTAGGTGTAGGTAGGTTTGGTCCAGGCCGGACCAATCTCGGAGAAATTGGCGGTAAACCAGGCAAAGGCGCTTCCGTCATTTGTTGGATCATGGACCCCACCGTGAAGGTGGACAACCGTTGGGACCCCACCGCTCATAGGGATAGCGGTGGGGATGGTAGGATCCCAGGGAAGTATGTGGTTTTGAGGGAGGAAATTTTGCCACGTCACGGAAACTGGGACCCCTTTCAGAGCTTCAATTGTGGGACCGGGTACAGTTGCGTCAGCTGCTGACGTCCCATAAGCGAATACAGTCGTTGGAGGTAAATCACGATGGAATTTCTGCATTAAAAGAAGCGGTTCCTCTACGTGAGTAAGTTTATCACAAGCCAACATTTACATGCTACGTGCACGTAAAGCACGTCAATGAAGATTTTGAGTCGCCGGAAAAAGCATAAAACCCGGGTTAAGCATGGCAAATGATATTGCCATGAAATTTGTTGCAGGGAATTCGCCGATTGTTCCAGTTTGGAACTGACTAGGTGTTAGCAACTCTCCGAGCTCGTAAAATAGTGGCAAATATAGCGGAATGAAGAAGTTGTACGTACCCATTGTTTCTGRTACATGCCGATGGTGATGCTGGTGGGCTGAGGCGTGCCAGATGAATTGTTGTATCCATAGATGGTGGGCATCTGTGGGAGTGGATCGACAAACATTTGCAGAGAACCGGCCACTTGAATTAGGGTCGCATCAGTTACAGGAGGCGGAGGTGGTGAGTTGGCGCCGCTACAAAACGAGACGATCAGTAGCGACGACATGATAAGTAACAAGAACTTAGCCATCATCTTTTCTCTTCTGGCTAGATAGCTAGCGACTTATCTGCAACAACTCGTTTTGGAAATGTGGTCAGTATGTAATCATCAATTGATAAACAACCAAGTACTGAACACTACATTAAGTTTAGCGTCTATCSCTTTCTGCCCGTGAGACAKGAAGCAACCGGAGATGTGATCTGATCAAGAAGATATTTATCCAAGGCAATTCTACAAATACATGGTCATCTACTACAGAACTAGTCACCAATGATAGATGAATTGAGGATGGATGCAGTCACGTWGATATTGATGGTGATGGTTTTGCTGATGGCAGAGCTAATCTTAAGACAAATTAATCAATGATCAAGGTTTCGAAGGTGAGTTGCTTACTATGACAAAGCATTTAGCTATAACAGTTTTGACTTGTCACCCCCATATATAATGGGAAATAATGGGTTGATTTAGATGTGGACTAGTGGGTTCATTTAATAGGTGATACAATGAGAGAAAGTATACTAACATGGTTTCTTAATGTGCATAGAACCATCTATACCACCCATAAGAAGATTTGATGTATGCTGAAAGGGCTAGAAGGGCTGGAAGCAGATAAAGAAAAGGGTCCGACTTGTATGAACAGATTAAAATGTCCATGGTTTAACCATGAATATGATATTGAACATAAGAAAATAATGAATGACTAAACAAGATTCATGTATCCAATCCCATATAATTGCTATAAGACTTAGATGATGATGAAAAACCCCATATGATGATATGACAATGCGAACATAAGAGAGATGAAGGAATGCTTAGCACACCTGAGCTTAAAGAGACAGACACAAGTATGGAAATTAAGGATGAGGGGAGTGTGGAGGGCACAAGCTTGATGATGAATTGGACGTCCAAAGTCACCCTATAAATAGGGGAGGGATGACTTAGACTCCACCAATTGGCAACATGTGCTTCCTTGCATCCAGCAATAACTAGAATAAACAACCCAAACGCCATGTGATCCAAGTCATCTGGCAAAGTAATTATAATGTGGTCAAGTTGAAATTATATATTGTATAATAATGTTTTGATAAATCTTAATTAGAAGTAGCGCTACAATGATGAGGACTACCTCTTATACAAGAGATGTGAAGGTGTCTTCCCTTGATTGACACGTGTCCAGATGAAGATCTTGGACCCACAGATGAACGTGTCTCATTTTTCAAGTCACCTTAACCGGAAATCTATACAACTGTCTGATGGTGATGAAGGATATATGTCACCCTCTGGGCTCCTCGTTGTATCAGACTTTAGTCCTTGATGACCGGTGAGAATCACAGCAAGATAATGTGATTGCTTATAGTTTAATTAATGTGTGGCAATGTTAAGTCAAACACATAAATCAATCCTGAGTTTCCCAGCAAAGAGAGGACAATTAAACGTGGAATTACGCTAATTGGCAATAAGGTATTGATTACAATCAAAATTTTCTCTCTTTTTTTTTTTTCATTTTAATTCTCGCTTAAATGGGCGGTTTGGTGGTTGTAGTTGTCCCTTCACTCGGTGAAGTTTGATCCAGTTTTCACATGAACGTTGTACGATTTATAGATCTCGGTACTGCGATTATTATATGATTTGTGAATTGTGATGCTTCCGTCAACTAAATCAATTTGAGTTTTCAGACGTGAATTGTGATGTCCACCATTGGTCACATGTTGAGTTTTTCATGAGCTGTTCGAGTTCGGCTGGATTCAGTTTAAATTAAGTTTTGGGATAAATTTAAGCTTAATATATAGACTTGATTGCTGATTGAATCTAACTTGAGCCTAATAAAACTCAGTTCACGAGGTTTATGAACTTAATTGAGCTTTTACATATATAAATATACATACATACATATATGTATAGACATAAAATTTTAATTTTTATATATAATAATAATTATTTTTTATATATTAAATAAAAAATAATTTATATATATATATATATTTTTTTATTTTTATAAAACATTTAATTCACAGTCCAACTCGATCCGATCTGGAATCATAACCATTTTAGCCACTCATTTCTGGGTCAACAGTTTGAACGAACTTCCCATTCCAACATAAAAAATAAAATAAAATAAAATACATATTTAAAATGAAAACCAGCCAAAACCATTGATGGGTCAAATGGATTGATGGTTTGACCGCCTGGACCAGCGGAACGCTGGCCAAATTGATAATTTTTCACCAAGGACCGGATTAAAGATGAATCAAAACCGGTTGCCTGATGATTAATTCCCAGGCCAAATGATCCAACTGTCCGGGCAAATGACGGTTGAATTGGACGGATGCGTGGATCATGGCATTTCCTTCAAACCACGTTAAGCTCTAGATTCTGGAAAGTCAAGCCTGCATGCTGTACGTATTTTTTACATCCCTCCACAAGATACTCTTTCTACATTCCTCTTTTATTTTTAGAAATATTTAATTAATGCATAAAAATAGGTTTTACTTTAAAAGAGTATCTAATGGAGGGATTAAGGCGTTGGTCGATCGTTACACTAGATAGGACTAAGGGACAAGTGGAATCATTTTATTGGGTTAGTATACAGGGGAGTATAGGGAAGTTAGTAGGAAATCCAGATTGGTCAATGATACCCAAAAATTGGAGGCCCGATCCGATTATCTCGGATTCAGATGATGTGTTCATGAAATTGGGTCAGTTTTGGATTTTATAATTTATATCTGATTAATAATTGGATCAAATTTACATTAATTTATTATATATAGAAGTTAAAATGTAATTAACATTTTAATATTTTTTGTATTTTAAAAAAATAAAAACGAATTCAATTAAATCCAAATATGATTCAAATATATTAGGATTCAAATTCGAATATGAGGCTTGGTTAGGTGACTGTTTAAATAATTCCACTATTTGAACTAGGTCAACGGTCTGAATGGTTTCTAACTAGGTCCAGGGAAAACAACAAACCTAGGGAAAACAACAAACTAAGGTTTGAGCTGAACTCAAGCCTAATATATAAGTTCCTTTGCTAGTCAAGCTGAGCTCAAGCCTAGTAAAGCTTAGCTCCTGAGGCTCACAAGCCTAATCGAGCTTTTACATAGGGTACATAGGGTGTCACCTCAGCAGTTAAGGGAGACCTACAAACAGAGGCAGCCAAGTTCCGCTTGTGAAAAGTTTGGCTCGGTCTAAACCGAGCTTCGTGCCGAACTCAAGCATAATGTATAGTCTTGTTTGCTAACCAAATCGAGTTCAAGCCTAATAAAATTTGGCCTGTGAGACTTGCGAGCCTAATCAAACTTTTAGTTGAAACGAGTTAGAATTTATACGCTTTTGACTCAAGCCAAACTCGAACTCAGCTCTCTAGCTCAAAGCGAGCCTGATAGTTAAGTAACAAGATGAACTCAAATAGCTAGATATTCACTCAGCGTAGCTCAAATCCACCCCTAAACACAACCAATACAGAGAACCTTATGTTAAGGTCGGCTGCTCCGTAATTAGAAGACAAGAAAGGAAAGCTTCAACCGTACTTTTTGTTACTTTGCTTGAAAGCTGCCGAGAAAAGTTCCTCTCTTTCTTATCTGTCAGGTGCTCTAGCCCATAATCCATGTAATAATACACAAGTAAAGAGGATAGAGAGTAAAAACTTAGTTCTTGACCACCATAACCTACTAAAATAACTAATTCGAGAAGAAAAATAAGGCTATATTTGGTTTGAAGGAAAAAGTAAGGAAAGGAAGGGAAAGGTAGAGAAACTTATACAGATTTGTAAAGATTTTTCTATATTTCCCTTTCTTTTCCTGTTTTTTCCTTCAAACCAAACACAGCCTAGATAACAAAGAGGAATCCGTTAAACCACTTAAACTTAAAAAAGCAATTTCTCAAGTATATTAAGTTATGTGATATTATATATGGTAATGCATGTTCGTAGACAAGGTTCTACATATCGATGTGACATATCGGCATCTATCTTTGGCCGCTTATTAATGGGTCACTGATACGATATGTATCAGTCAATATCCTCCAATATACACTGCGAAGTTTCAATCTTTGGTTCTAGAAATAGCCCAATTCTAAAGATGTTCTCTGATTATTTTGATCTATTTTCAAGTCTTTTAATCACCATCTTGGATCTTGAAGATAATGTGATGATGCGGCCTTTGAAATTCATCTCTTGAATAGTGGGCTGGATCCCGCAAAGGGATTGGAGGAAGAGGGAATAAAAAAAAAAAAAAAATCAGTGTGTTGGGCCTGATGCCCATGAATGAGATGCATATCCATATTGGTCCCAACAACAAATTAATAATTTAATCCCCTACATTGCCCATAAGTTAGATGTGTCATACACGGTTACACCTCATCATTTTTCTCTGCATTGGCTAAAATAGTAGGGTTTGCTAGAAACCCTTTTTTATATGCAAATTTATTGTATTTATAAATTACAGATACATCACATACTAGATCTGCACTCTGTTTCTTTCAAAGGGAACAAGATGGAAAGTTTTTTCATGTTGAATTTTTTGTTAGTTTCATTTTCTTCACTTTTACTTTGCAAACAACTTTTTTTCACTGTCATTTGCATGAAAGCAAATAAAGGAGCTCAAGGCAAAGTTGGACTAGTATGGACCGTTCTGGTCCATTTTTGTGGCATGTTAAATCAAAATTTAATTGTAAAGCGCTTGTAGTTCAGTAGATAGAGCATTTGTTTCCTAAATAAAAAATCGTAGGGGCTACACTAACTCATTTTAGGGGCTACACTAACTCATTTTCGCTTATTGTTAACTAAAACCTCAATAGCTTTCGTACAAAGAAAAAGGTAAAAGACTTAAACGTCCCCTAAAGTTTCATTTCAATACTCAAACATCTCCTTTCTAAATTGGACCAAGTCCTCCTGTATCAGTGATTTTAGTGGACAAAAACTAAGGTTTTTACAGTTTGACGGTTCAACCGCTCGGGTCATCCTAAAAAGCAGTTTTACGTAAAACGGTCCGATTTTCAGTTTTTTCTGTCCGGTTTTGAAAACACTGACAAAAGCTTCCCATTCGTTGGTTCTCCATT